AAAAAAAAAAAAAAAAAAAAAAAAAAAAAAAAAAAAAAAAAAAAAAAGAAAGAAAGAAAGAAAGGTAAAAAGTAGCATTTCCCCTACCAGGGGCAATTGTTATTGTCTGTATAAAGTATTTCTGAATACCTCTGGCAGAGCTGAGCTAAAGAAAACTCAAATTCACTGTTTCAGCAAGTTCTTACTGTCAACAGGTGAAACTTTGTGATTTTGGTTTTGCCCGGATCATTGGAGAGAAGTCTTTCCGGAGGTCAGTGGTGGGTACCCCAGCCTACCTGGCACCTGAGGTTCTGAGGAACAAGGGCTATAATCGCTCTCTAGACATGTGGTCTGTTGGGGTCATCATCTATGTGAGCCTCAGTGGCACCTTCCCTTTTAATGAAGATGAAGACATCCACGATCAGATCCAGAATGCAGCCTTCATGTACCCACCCAATCCTTGGAAGGAGATTTCTCATGAAGGTAATTTCATCCCTTCAGAAGCAGCATTGGCTTCCCTCTTCAGTGCTGTGTTTTTCATTGAATATTAATTATTTAAGTGAAAATGCTCATTGTATTCACTGGAATGAAAGCAAAAGTAGTTTAAAGTGGATTGAGAAGTAACAAAATTCCAAATCCAAAGTGTCATTTGATGAAATGTGTGTTTACCAGTAAAGAGACTGGAAAGTCTATACTAAAAGGTACATGAAACAAGCAAGGAGAATTGTTCACATGGGACGTATTTACATTGATGTGACAGCAGTGAGCTGTTTCCAGGCTTTGGAATTATGCTCTTTTGAAGTCTCACCAACACAAGTTTATGACATTGACATTTTCATTATCATACTGTATCCATTAATATTCCAAGCATTTTCCCTCCTGCTTTGCTTTGTGTGACAATGGGGAATGAATATTTTATTTGGCCACTTCCTTAGAAATATTGGGGGTTTTGCTTTTGTTCAGTATGAGAACATACTTATATGCAGTGACTCCTTTAGGATAGGATTCCTTGGAAGGCTTGTATTATTTAAACGTATATTCTTGTTTATCAATACTTCTTTCCTCTTAAGGGAAAAGACATAGTTTAAATGCCAGGGGCTGGTAGGCCATAGAAAATAATTAGTTCAAGCTTTTAGAAGTAGTTCTTTGAAAGTTCATTTAATTCTCTCTCACACACACATGAAAGTCCTGTAAAATAGGTTTTGTTTTTAAACCTGTGTCATGAAAACTAAAGATAATGAAGTGATACCAGGTGCCAAAGTCACTAAGCTAGTCAGTGGCCGGGCCAGAACTCACAGGCGGTCTGAGCATGCTTGGTTGGCCATTAACTGCTTTGGTAGTTTCTGGGCAATACATAGTTCAAATTTCATGGTCAGTGTTCAGATTTCCAGCATTTAAAGATGATGACACATTCATGGATAGCCATCCCATCGATACCTGTTAATGAATGTGTTAGTACAGACATGGGAAGAGTGTGGGTTAACTACTCGAGGCCGATGAACCCCTTAGGTACTGATGATGTTAAATGACAGGGGCTATCTCCATTGGAAGAGCTCTAGTGGTTATTGGTTTGTACCATGAGCAGCACCCGTTAACATCCTCTCCTTTCTGTAAATTGTATCTAGGTGGATAATTCTTAAAGGAATCTGAACTACCTACAAAAGAGCTATGGTGTATGCCAAAGGAACAATTAAGAACTTAGGGAAAGGCAAAAGTAAAGTGTAATAATCATTCTTTTCCAGTGACCCTGTCTCTTGTTAGGAAATATTGCCAGTTAGACAAGGTTAGCCCTAATGCTTCATATCCCTTATGCAGTAAAATTACTTAATGCGGTTACCGGAGTGTAAATGAAAAATCCCTAGCTCCAGTCAGACACTTCTCTGTTCTTATCAATGGGCACAGATATGGCTATAAAAAAACAGTAGTTAAGAAATCACAATTTATACCCACAATACAGTTCAAAATAGAATGTAAAAAAAATGTGCTTCAGAAACATGAACAGTAGCTGGCAAAATAAGATATGAATTTGGAAAGATGGTCATTTATTTTCTTGAATCTTCAGCTAAATTTAAAATCACAGTCTCCCAATTCAGAGAATGGAGACTCACTGTGGTTTAGCTAGTCAGAACTGCATTTTCAAAAGAAATATAGAACTTGATCCTCACTGAAGAATGGAAAAAAATATGTAACATTTCATTAAAGGTAATTGTCTAGTATAACTCAAAAGCCATTTGGATTTGACCAAGAAATACAAATTTCATTTGTCTAGGCAAACCTCAGGAGATTTCCAACCACTCAGGCCAGGTGATAACTGATACCAGCTCTGGTGGAAGATGAAATTGTCCTACTTCTAAAGGACTAAGTATCAACTCAGGAATAAGTTGGCCTCTATCCCTGTGCCTCCTTCTGACCCATCCTTGCTGGAGAAGCCCAGGAACTGTACTCATGGCTTCCTGGGGTCTGGGTGGCAAATGATTATTTCCTTGCCTCTGAATGAACTCAGGCTTGAGTAAGGAAAATAAGAACCTAAATTGTGTCACAGTAACAGCTGAGGTGTTAAAAATGTCATTCTGTCTCACTGAGAGTAAATAATCCCCTGATTACAAATTTCAGCGTGACCATTAGTGAGTAATTTGAAGTGTATCAGAAATGATAGACGCACCACCCCATGGGAGCCTGGTGTGGTGAATGCAACTATAGTAGACCACTGAGGAAATCTCATGGTATTTTAAACCATGCCACAGTTGCTGAAAATTCAGATCCTGTGACGTGAGAAGCCAGTGCTATGATTATACCAGCAAAAGGAGGGGTCGACAATCTAGTATCTAAGACACAGATCAGATTGACATTTGCTTACCTTCCTTGCTTCATAGTCTTATCTGTAAAATGGAGTCATGATTTCTACCTACGCGATAAGGTAGTGTGCTAGCTAATTTCATGTCCACACAGGCTAGAGTCATCTCTGAAGCAGGAACCCTAATTGAGAAAATGCCTCCATAAGGTGTGGCTGTAGGTAAGCCTGAAAAGACCATATTCTTATTTAGTGATTGATGGCGGAGGGCCCAGCTCATTATGGGTGGTGCCATCCCTGGGCATGTGGTCCTGGGTTCTATAAGAAAGGAGGCTGAGCAAGCCACTGGGAGCAGCCAGGAAGGAGCACCCGTCCATGACCTCTGCATCGATTCCTACCTCCAGGTTCCTGCCCTGTTTGAGTTCCTACCCTTGCTGTTTTTGATGATGAACTGTGATGTGGAACTGTGAGTGAAATAAACCCTTTCCTCCACAAGTTGCTTTTGGTCATGGTGCTTCATCACAGCAATAGTGACCCTAACTAGGAAAGGTAGTAATGAAGAGTAAGTGAGATAAAATCTTAGAGGCATCTGTACAAGCTAGGATGGGTCCAGCCATACTCGTGAATTGGGAGAGTACTGCAGAACCCTGAGCTAAGCAACTGGCCTCACTGGCAAGCAAAAATTGATTGTGTAAATTTATAAACTGTATGCAAATTTCTGTTCCAAAACTCTTTATGACTTTTCTTGTTTCAATAACAGAAACTTACAGCAAGCAAATAAGATAAATTATTGAACGCCAATTAGAGAATGTAGAAAGTAAACCTTAGGTTCAGCTGGTTCCTGCCATCTCCATGTGTTTTCCCCTCAAAGCTGCTTTATTTCAGGATAACTTTCTTCTCAGGTTGTCTTTCAAATTCTGCCCTGCTATGTCCACGCTTGCCTGCCCCTGACTGTTGTGCATGGTCTCAAAATGGAAGTCAGCACATTTACATAGACAGTCTCTGAATATGATAACAATTGTCTCTGCTCAAGTCCCAGTATACCCTTGGAGCAATCACACAGTCATCCCAGGAGCCCAACTCTGATGCTCTGATTAGCCTTGTGGATAAAGATGATTCCACTAAGAAAAGGAAAGGAAACTACTGTAGGAAAAAAAAAAGATGCTAAGCAAAGGCATTAACAGGTGTCAGGGAAAACAGGGTTTCTATGGTGTGTGTGTGTGTGTGTGTGTGAGAGAGAGAGAGAGAGAGAGAGAGAGAGAGAGAGAGAGAGAGA